CTCTCTGCCTCTGACTCTCTGTAACTCTGCCTGTCAAATAAAAAAATAAATCTTAAAAAAATGGTCATTTTAATTGTTAGGCCAAGAACCCACTCTGAGGAACTTTTAGCTCTTCTGTTCCTGGTAGAGCTTCCAGGTGACTGTAGCCAACTGAGTGTGGCCAGCAGAGGAAATGGAAGAACCCCAATCAAACTCACAGAATACTGAGAAATCATACATCCTTTAAAGATTTACTTATTTAGGGACTGGCACTGTGGCATAGCAGGTAAAGCCACTGTCTGCAGTGCTGGCATCCCATATGGGTGCCGGTTGGAGTCCTACCTGCTCCACTTCTGATCCAGCTCTCTGCTATGGCCTGGAAAAGCATTGGAAGATGGCCCAAGTCCTTGGGTCCTTGCACCTGCGTGGAAGGCCCCGAAGAAGCTCTGGCTTTTGGTTTCTGATCAGCACAGCTCTAGCCATTGTGGCTGTTTGGGGAGTGAACCAATATCTCTGTCTCTCTGCCTCTGCCCTTCTGTAACTCTGCCTTTTAAATAAATAAATAAACCTTTAAAAAAGTTTTTTTTTTAAATCGTCTTTTTAAAAATATTTATTTATTGGCCGGTGCCGCGGCTCACTAGGCTAATCCTCCGCCTAGTGGCGCCGGCACACCGGGTTCTAGTCCCGGTCAGGGCGCCGGATTCTGTCCCGGTTGCCCCTCTTCCAGGCCAGCTCTCTGCTGTGGCCAGGGAGTGCAGTGGAGGATGGCCCAAGTGCTTGGGCCCTGCACCCCATGGGAGACCAGGAGAAGCACCTGGCTCCTGCCATTGGATCAGCGCGGTGCGCAGGTCGCAGCGCACCGACCGCGGCGGCCATTGGAGGGTGAACCAACAGCAAAAAGGAAGACCTTTCTCTCTGTCTCTCTCTCACTGTCCACTCTGCCTGTCAAAAATAAAAAAACAAATTTATTTATTTAAAAGGCTTAATGAGAGAGAGAGAGAGAGAGAGAGAGAGAGAGAGATCTTCCATCTGCTGATTCATTCCTCAAATGGCTGTAATAGCTAGGACTGGCCAGGCTGAAGCCAGGAACCAAAAACTCCATCTGGGTCTCCAATGTGGATGGCAGGGATCCAATCCAATCCCTGGGTCATCGTCTGTTGCCTTCTCAGGGACATTAGGAGAAAGCTGGATCATAAGTGGAGCAGTGAGGCCAGTGTCGTGGTGCAGGGGGTTAAGCCACTCCCTGTGATGTGACATGGGCATCCCATATCTGAGTACCATTTCCAGTCCCAGCTGCTCCACTTCCAATCCAGCTCTCTGTTAATGCATCTGGGGAAGCAGAGGAAGGTGGCCCAAATGCTTGGGGCCCTACACCCACATGGGAGACCTGGCTCCTGGCTCCTGGCTTCTGCCTGGCCCAGCACTGGCCATTGCAGCCATCTGGGGAGGGGGGGTGAACCACCAGATGGAGGAGCTCCCTTTCTCTTGTTGTCTCTGCCTCTCTTTCTGTAACACTTTCAAATAAATAAATCAATCTTTAAAAAAAAAAAAAAAAAAGGCGGCAGAAGGGAGCATCTGGATGGAAAGTGGAGCAGCCAGGACTCAAACCTGCACCCATCTGTGATGCCAATGTCTCAGTTTTTTTTTTTTTTTTCTAACACAAGTTATTTATTGTTTACTATGTAGATTGTTGGTCTTTCCTGAAAGGATACTTGTATCTTCCCAGCAAAGATTTTACATTGTTCACTACTGTATCCCAGCACCAAGAAGGTACCTGGGACTTGGGAATAGTTTAATAAATATTTGTTGGCAGATGTATGAATAAAACCAATTATCAACCTTAGAGCTGCTGTTGTGAATATTAAGGTTTTGTTGATTTATTTTTGAGAGAGAGAGAGAGAAATCTTCCATCCATTGGTTTATTCTAAATGCTTCACAAATAGCCAAGGGTGGGGCCAGACCAAAGCCAGGAGCCAGAAACTGCACCTGGATCTCCCACATGGTTGGTAAGAACTCAGAACTTGTATCATCTGCTGCCTTCCCAAGCCCATTAGCAGGAAGCTAGATTGAAAGCAGAGAAGCCAATCCTTGAACTGGCATTCTGATTTTATATATATATAGCACCAGTGTCTCATGAAGTGACTTAACCCATTGTACCATAACATCCACTCCTGTAGTGAATATTAAAAGAGGTAACTCAATTACCTGGCTTATAGTAGAACTCTATAAATTTAGGTGTTTTCCTTCCTCTTTTCCTCTCCCTCACTTCCTCCTACACAATCCTTCAGCAAGTCAGCTTGACCACAGCTTAAAAACATAACATGGGGGCAGGCGTTGTGGCACAGTGGGTTAAGCTGCCACTCGGATGCTTGCAGCCCATACTGGAGTGCCTGGTTCTAGTCCCAGCCACTCTATTCTTCCTATTCAGCCTCCTGCTAATGTACCTGTGAAGCAGATGATGGCCTAAGCACTTGAGTTCCTGCCACCCATGTAGGAGACCCACATAGAGTTCCTGGTTTACCCCTGGCTGTTGCGGGCATTTGGAGAGTGACCCAGCAGATGGAAGATCTGTCTCTTCTCTCTGTGTCACTCTGCCTTTCAAATAAATAAATGAATGCATCTTTTGTGAAAAACCCTGGCTTTTCTGTTCATTCATCACCACCACTGTAGTCAAACCACCTTTGTAGCTCACCTGGACTTCACCACTCCACCTACCAATCTATTAGCTGATCTCCTGGCCCCCCACTCCTAATCCTTTCTCCACATTCCGAGAGATCTTATACAAAAACAATTCCAAATCATCTCACGACTCAGTTTAAATATCTTCTGGTGCTTCAAATTAGCTCAGACCTTTTTCATTTAAAATTTTAAAAAGATTTCTTTATTTGAAAGGCAGGATTATGGGGAGAGAGACAGAGAGAGCAAGAGGGATCTTCCATCCACTGGTTCATTCCCCAAATGGCTTCAACAGCTGGGACTGGGTAAAGCTGGAGCCCAGATCCTAGAATGCCATCCAGGCCTCCGAAAGGCAGGGAGCCAAGGACTAGAGGCATCTTCCGCTGCTTTCCCAGGCTCAATGGCAGGGAGTTGGATTCACAGTAGAGCAGCGGGGACTGGGTGCCATTGCTGTGGAAGGCGGCTTAACCCGCTGCACCAAAATGTTGGCCTCAGCTCAGACTTCTTAGTGGCGGGGCCTCTGTCTTCCTCTTCAGAGTTAATCTGGGTGCCAACGTCGCGGCTCAATAGGCTAATCCTCCGCCTTGCAGCGCCGGCACACAGGGTTCTAGTCCCAGTCCAGGCACCAGATTCTGTCCCGGTTGCCCCTCTTCCAGGCTGGCTCTCTGCTGTGGCCGGGAAGTGCAGTGGAGGATGGCCCAAGTGCTTGGGCCCTGCACCCCATGGGAGACCAGGAGAAGCACCTGGCTCCTGCCTTCTGATCAGCGCAGTGCGCCGGTCGCAGAGCGCCAGCCACGGCGGCCATTGGAAGGTAAACCAACGGCAAAAGGAAGACCTTTCTCTCTGTCTCTCTCTCACTGTCCACTCTGCCTGTCAAAAGAAAGAAAGAAAGAAAGAAAGAAAGAAAGAAAGAAAGAAAGAAAGAAAGAAAGAGAGAGAGAGAGAAAGAAAGAAAGAGTTTATCTGGGGACTGGCGCTGTGGCATAGCCGGTAAAGCTGCTGCCTGAAGTGCTGGTTCGAGATCTGGCTGTTCCTCTTCTGCTCCAGCTCTCTGCTGTGGCCTGGCAAAGCAGAAGATGGCTCAAGTCCTTGTGCCCTTGCAATCGGGTGGGAGACCCAGAAGAAGCTCCTGGCTCCTGGCTTCGGATCAGCGCAGCTCTGGCCCTTTAGGGAGTACTCTAAATAAGTAAATCTTAAAAAAAAAAAAAAAAAAAAAAAAAAAAAAAAAAAAAAGAGTTCATCTGGTTTAGGCTAACTGGCTGTCCCGCTGGTTCCTGGAATTAACAGAATTAATTTTCATTTTAGCACTTTTTAGCATTCTTGATTCCTGCTTGAGAATCTCTGGCTAGTCGGCTCCTCATTGTTATTCAGATTTGTTTAAATGGGGCTTCCTCTGAGACTATCACTGATCTAAAGTGATCACTCCTTTTTCATACCCACTTTTCCTTATGTTTATTTCTCCCCCAGTATATTTTTTTAAGATTTATTTATATATCTGAAAGATTTACAGAGGGAGAAACGAGAGAGCGAGATCTCCCATCCATTGGTTCGCTTTCCAGATGGCCACAACGGCCGGAGCTGGGCCAGGCCAAAGTAAGGAGCCAGCAGCTTCCTGCGGGTCTCCCCTGTGGGCGGTAGAGGCCCAAAAACTTGGGCCATCTTCGGCTACTTTTCCAGACCATCAGCAGGGAGCTGGAATGGAAGTGGAGCAGCCGGGACCCACACGGGATGCCAGCGTTGCAGGCGGCGGCTTAACCCTCACGCCGCAATGCCGGCCCCGGACCGCCCAGATTTTAAATTTCTTGAAAACAGAGACTCTACCTGTCATTTCCCTTGCTTTAACCCTCAAGTTGGAGCAATGTCGTGTATGCTCAAAACATATTTGCTGAATAAATGAATTATGATGACGACGATGACGAAGCCTCAGACCAACTGGTCACAAGTTATAGTAATTTTCTCAAGAAATGCAGTTCCGAAGTTAGATCCTGGAAGACTGGAGACCAGGTAACAAACGCCACACGCCTCAGGGTGGTGGATGGAAGACATCGAAACTCTGGCTTCTTCCCTCCTATGCAAAAGTAGGCCTAGAATCGCTTGACCAGAAACTGCAGTTGCACCACAACTGGCATTTTCTTCGCAGCCACTTCAGCCTGGCAGCAAACGCGCAAACACCTCTAGGACCCCGGGTTCCTTTCTGTTTCTTTATGAATGAACCGGCTCCAGTGCGCGCATGCGCATCTCGCCGTTCTCCCGTTCCACGTGAGGCCCACCCTTCCCTCCTGCTGGAGACCCCGCCCTCATCCATTCTAACAGACCAATGACAAGCGGCCTTGGGGGCGGAGCCGGCGCGGCCAGGCACTGTAGTTCCCCCGGCGCCCGGCTCCCTCGCGCTAGTCGTGCTGTGTTGTGATCACGTGGCCGGCTCCGGGCGCGGCGCTTGTTTTGGTTTCCTCCAGCTTGCCCTGCAAGCCTCGAGGTTAGCTGCTTTCTTGCACCGGTTGCCGCACCTGCAAACGCCCTGGTCTCGGGTTCCTCGGGCTCCGCCCGTGCTACCCGAAGCCCTCTCGGGGCGGGCTTCTGCCATGCCGCTGCTCCGCTACAGAAAGGTGGTCATCCTCGGATACCGCTCCGTAGGTGAGTCTCCGCCCTGCGGGAGCACGGCCGCACCCCGCGTGGTGGCCGGCGGAGGCGCGCTGCCGCACCGGGAGAGCAGAGACAAGGACTGAAAGGGTGGAGGAAGAAAGGCTGGCGGTGTGTGCGGGGCTGCAGGCAGCCGGAGCACGCAAGGGTTAATGTGGGCTTGGCTGCAGGGAGAGCAGCAGGGTCTCCGGCGATACTCTGGGAATAAGGGTTGGGGTCGATTGAAGACGGTGGCGGGGCGGGAGGCGGGAGGGCGCGGTCTGCTTGGGGCAAATAGTCGCAGGTGCCCTGGGGCGGGGAAGACTTGATCCTTGGGGAACCTGGATCTTCTGGGGGGTGGGGGTGGGGGGGCGGAAAGGCCGCCTGTGGTGCTCTTGAATGCAGCCTGTAGTGCCCAGACTGGTGTGGGCGATGAGAAGAATCGCTGCTTGAGACACTCAGACCGGCCCCCGCTCCTTTGAAAGAACAAGAGGGTGTGACTGTGGCTGGATGATGTGGATACAGCTATCTTTGCTCCCCACAGGGAAGACATCCTTGGCACATCAATTTGTGGAAGGCGAGTTCTTGGAAGGTTACGACCCCACAGTGGAGAACAGTGAGTCAATTTCTACCCTGATGTGGCTGGGTTGGAACTAGTTGGGCTTAGCTGTTCCATCCAGCGTTATAATTTGGGATTTCTCTGGTGTCAAGGAGTGGATTTGTTCAGACATTGCTTCTAGCAGTCTTGTTTTATGATTGGCTAGCATGTGGATTTTGCAAGATAACCTCGTACACGAAAGTAGGGATATAGACAATAAAAACCTTGCATGTGTTTCCCGTTTCCTGGAGAGCTCCCTGGAGCTGGTCCGTCTGTGTCACTTTCACCTTCAGGGTTAAGGATGCATGGGGGCATACATCTCTAGCCCTGCAAGATGTCTCACAGTCAAGTTTTCTTTTCTTTTCAGCTTACAGCAAGATAGTGACTCTTGGCAAAGATGAGTTTCACCTACACCTGGTGGATACAGCAGGGCAGGTACCAGTTGGGGTAGGGTTTCCATATGTAGCAGCTCAGCCCTAGGTGAGTCTGCTAACCTCTGGTGCATGTGTAAAGTAGCATCAAAAGAAAAACATGTAAGCCACTAACAATGTGCTAGGCTCAGTGCAGCTGCTCCAAACATACTTGTTGAGTAGAGGTGACTAGAGTAGGGAATGCCCCAGGGAGGGTTAAGTGGATGCTGTCCCACCAACCTTTGCCATCTGAGAGGTGTGGATCTAAGGTGCTGATGTTTCTTTCTCGGTAGGATGAGTACAGCATTCTGCCCTATTCATTCATCATTGGCGTCCATGGTTATGTGCTCGTCTATTCTATCACCTCCCTGCATAGGTGAGTGACCAAGGTTGTGGAACTTGGGTGGATCTTACAGTTGTCCCAGAACTGAGGTTATAGCTCCATTTCTTGTATTTAAAGCTTCCAAGTCGTTGAAAGTCTCTACCAAAAGCTACATGAAGGCCATGGGAAAACCCGGTAAGTGGCCCTGAGGGTGGGCAAGGAGCAGAAGGAAGAACTGTGTAAGTTAGAGAGGAGGCTGGGACACAGATCCTGTGGCAGCCTGGTGGGGAGCTGTCTACCTTGACTTCAGGGAGGCTGGGGTCCACATCGATCAGGAAGAGAACCTTGCAGTAATTGCTGTTTCCTTACAGGTTGCCAGTGGTACTAGTGGGGAACAAGGCGGATCTCTCTCCAGACAGGTGTGAGTCCTTGCTACCCAGGGTGGACAGCAGTGAGCTGGAATGGAGCTCAGCAGAGCTGTAGCCACAGACCCAAAGAAATCGTTTCACCTCTTTGCTTTGCTAACTTAAAGGTTAACAGGATATAGCCCTTGAAACGCAAAAGCAGGTCCCTATTTCAAACCTAAGTCCATGGTTCACCCATGCTTACTTTGTTTACCTGCATGTTCTTCCTTCCTCAACCCTCATCCCAAACCGTGGGTACATGGGACAGGTTAGAGGAGGAGGGCTAGAGAGCACTTGGGGGTCATTGCCATCTTCCCTCCATGCTGACTTTCCACACTTGTTCGCAGAGAGGTGCAGGCAGTTGAAGGGAAGAGGCTGGCAGAGTCCTGGGGTGCGACATTTATGGAGTCATCTGCTAGAGAGAATCAGGTGCTGGTCCTGATGATTAGAAAGGTGTTGGGTGGTGCTCTTCTTAGAGCATTGCTGGGGGTGGGAGGGTGGGGTGTTTGCCTCTGAACTAGGTGGTCTTGATTTTGGACTCACTCAGTTTTTTTGCCTTGCATCTATATCCCTTATAGCTGGCTCAAAGCATCTTCACCAGAATCATCCAGGAGATCGCCCGGGTGGAGAATTCCTACGGGCCGGAGCGGCGCTGCCTCCTCATGTGAGCCCTGAAGCACAGGATGATGGCTTCAGGTCTGCCCCTGGCATTTGCCAGGCTCCAGTGGTCCAGGGCAGGGCCAGCAGGCCCTCAAAGACTTCACGGGTACTGTTGCCACCGCGCAGTGTGGCACCCTTCATGTGTATACACTTTCCCTGGGCTCCAGCAGCCTGGGCGTCACTGTTTACAGTGGGGCAAAGATGTGGGTGGGCACTGGCCTCTGGCCCCTGTTTTTTGCTGTATGAATTCTGTTCTAACCAGCAGGGCTGGGATGTGGGAGTCCTGGTCCCTGTTTATCCAGGTCCATTCCATCCTGTGTTGGTTGGGTGAGCTAAGCTGGAGGCACAGGAAGCAGAGCTGGCTCCCTGGGATGACAATGTACATATGCAAATAAACTAAGAACTCTTTTGTTGTTGACTTCTCTGAATCTGGGGAGAGTGCCGAGCCAATGGCTCCTCTTCCAAGCAGTGATGGCTGTGACCTATGGGGAGGTAGGGGGAAGCGTTCCTACCCCCATTGCTTCCTTTCTTTTAAGCACAGTTACCCTGAAACTTAACTACTTACCTTCCCTACCTTTCCATTCTGCTGGGTTCTCTGTCCCCTCGGCCGCCACTCCCACCAGTTTGTAGGCACTGGAGATCCCCTTCCCTACAGAAACACCACCCCCTAGTGGCCAGATGCCACTTGCTGACCCAGCCATCCTGGTGGGGCCTTGGCATTTGCTAGGACCAGAGGGAAGGGTTTGGGAGGAACGAAGTCCCCCATGCCTGAGTTTGTGGCAGTGGAGGAGACTAGAGGCAGGCATTAAAAGTGTTGTGAAGATCTGGATTCCCAAGAGTTGAGTAAAGGAAGAAATAATGTCCCTGGTGTATATCCCTGGTGTGTATCTCCCTGCTGCCCCCTTTCCCACTGCCTTCCATTAAAATGGACTTTGCTCCTCTCATACGTTTGGTAATCTTTTGGTAGCTTTTACACCATTGGAGTTGCCCCATCTTTTGGTAACAGGTTACTGCTTCTGCCTTTTCTTACCTCTACCACCTCAGGAGCAGGATGAGAAGTTCAGCCAGGAAGGTTTGGTCCTGTTTGCCTCTAGTTTACCCGACCCTTCCTCTTCCAAGGACTTCTAAGGGTTCTCTAAATGGTGCATTTTTACAGGGAAGACACGGACCTCTCTTGCCAACTGTGAGAAGCGTTCCTACCCCCATTGCTCTGTCCGGGCACTTACTTGGGGAGACAGGACAGAAGCTATGTGGGATTTTTTTTTTTTTCTTTTTTGCTGAGACCCAGCTCTGGCTTCTGGTTGGAGCTGGTGGTTTGTCATGTTGGTTTTCAAAGGTCCTGCCAGCTGCTTTGGCTTCTGATTCAGAATATGAAAAGAAAGGAGATGTTCGAAGAAACATAAAGAATCGTCTCAGTTGCCTATAAGGTTCTCCAGGGTTGTCACCAACTTCTCACATTAAAATCATGTCCATTTGCATCTCTGGCCTGGTGTACTTGTTACAGGGACCCACCCACCCACTGCCGCTTCGAACTCTAGCGTAAATTTACAAACATCTGAAGTTTTCTAATAAGCCATCTCCAGGCATGAAGACAGTAAAGAAAAATGGCTCATAGCTGGTTGATGGCATCTCCACCTAGATGTGTGAACTTGGGCATTCGCTTAACCTCTCTGAGTCTGTTTCTCATTTATGAAGGATGCTTCATAAATCTGCTTCATAAATCTGAAGTGACAAACACTTACATATTGTGATATGTAATGCCAAGCACAATTCTTTATATATAAAACATCAGAAACAGTGGCCGACAACTCCTGAAGGCCTTTCCGACGGTGACCTGGTTCTCCTTGCCTCTAGGCACATGAGAGTAGGGAGGGGGTACCTTCCATTTTCCAACATCTGTCTCTTGGTCAATTTAATCTACCGCAGCTGAGACAGGGGCAGAGTCACTGCTGGAGTTGGTTGCTGACCTAGGTGCTCAGCAGAGAACACGGTACTGGTGTGTAACAGGGGGCATGCCGGGTCCCTATCCTTCCTCTAAACCTGGCCGGTAGGGAGTAAGGTTTCCCGTCCAGGAGGAAACCACAAACTACATATGGCTAGTTATGCTTAACTTGGTTAAAATGAAAAGTTACCCATCTTCAAGGTGCTCGATGGTGGCAAATGGGTACTACATCAGACAGCGTCAGAGTGCAGCAAACCCTTTCTCACAAAACCAGCTCTGGACCCACACTGCCTGCTTCCTTCTCCACCATCTTCCTAGGAAAAACACGGCCCTTGGTTTGAATCACGGCCCATCTCTTCATCAGTGATAGGCAGCTCAAGCCATGTAACTCTTAAGAGAACATCTAAAGAGTATAGAAAGTATCTAACACATAGGTAATTTGTCTCCTAGCTGCCCCACGTGTAAAGTTCAGTCTTCCCAATCCTCTCACCTAAAGTTAAGGAGGCTGGGGGTGGGGGGGGGTGGGGGGAGGGCAGGGTGCCTGCCTGCAAGGAGTGTGTTTTGGGACCTTGTCTAGAGCGACAGCGCGCTGGCCAGGTATCAGCAGCGAGCCGACCTTCGTTTATTGAAAAGGGACTGGAGATGGGGGTGGGGGCACCGTGCAAAGGTTAGGGGAGCTCTCCATGTATGCTCTGGTGGGTCTATGTGTGTGTGCCCGCGGGCTGTGCGGGCATTCACAGCCCTTTCCCCACGAGGGGCTCTGGGAGCCGGAAGGAAAAGAGCCAGCATCGTCCGGTTTTCCTCGGGGCCCCTCCGGAACGTGGCAAGAACCCACGCCAAGCGCCGTGCCTCACTTTCTCCATTTGCGGACTCCAGTTCCCAGGATTCCGAGCAGCGGCCAATCTCCTGGCTCTCTCCTTCCATCCCCCTCCTCCCGGGAAATACTGCCCCTGGCCAAGGCAAGGGGGACAGTTCAAAAAGAGTTGCAAGGGCCAACGACTGCCAAAGGGACGGCATCAGAAGGCGGCCCGGGGTCCCGGGGCTCACAGACCGGGAGGCACAGGCGGCAGGTCCCGGCCCCGGCGCGGAGGAGGGGGCTCGGTTCCCACGTGTCCGCGCCGCCGCCGCCACCGCCGCCGCCGCCGCCGCCCGGCACCGCCGGGGTTAACCCGCGGCGGAAGGATCCGCGGCGTGTGCGTAGAACTGCAAAGTCACAGCCCTTCCTCCGCGAGGGCCGAGTCCCTCCGCCGCCCCGCTCCAACACAAAATAGGGCCGCCTCTCCTCCTTTCTCCCCCCCGTCTTGAGTGGGGTTCTCCGGGCAAGAGGCCCTCCCGGATTTCGCACCGGAGGCTTCGCGAATCTCCACGACCGCCGCCCAGGTCTCGGGCCAGGAAATAAGCCCCTTCGGAGGAACCACCCTACCGGCCGAGCAGGAGGCGGAGGGGGTGGGGGGGAGGCGGAGCGGCGCCGCGCTGCACTACTTTCCTCTCCGGTTGCAAATGGCTGCCTCGTTCCCCACTTTCCGCTCAGTTTCCTGACCCCCCGGCGCCGGGAGCCGGGGTTGGGCCATGCACCTCTAGGCCCCCCGCGACCACAGCCAGCCGGGGGTCGAGGGGGTGCCGCTGACCGGAGCCGGCCAGGCCGGGGGCGGGGCAGCTCCCGAGGCCAGAGGGGAAGGGAGGCGAGCGCTGGGCCTGGAGCGGCCGGCGGGGAGCGGGCAGAGGGCTCGTACCGCCCGCCCCTTCCTCTTTCTCGCCCACCTACCCTCCTCCTCCCTTCCCGGGGTGGGGGGGCCGGGGAGCAGAAGGTGGGGGGCTCGAGGCCGCCGAGGGCGAGCGCTCGGGGTCGAGGAGCCCGGCCGCTGGGTGTGTGTCAGGCTCAGCCCCGCGGCCCCGCCGGCTCCGCGTCGCCGCCGTAGCTCGCGCGGCCCCGGGGCGCCGGCCCGGGGCGGGGGAAGAAGGGCTCGGCGCTGCGGCCGGGGGGCGCTGCGGCCGGGGGGCTCCGCTTTGCTCCGGCCCGGGCGCGCGCGGCGGCGCGGCGCTCCTTCCGGGCTGCGGGGAGGCGCCTCGGCGTTCCATCTGGAGAGCCCCGGCGTTCCGCGCGAGCCCGGCGCGGGCGGCCGGGGCGCTGGCCGGGCCCCGGGACTGAGAGGCCGCCCGGCGGCGCGGATGCACAGCCTGCTTGCCCAAGATCAAAGCCACCGGTGCTCTCTTTGTGTCCGCTCGGGATTCGTCGCCCTGGGGCTGTCCATGGAAACCTAAACTGCTGGAACCCGAAGCAGAGAGCCTCCCCCCCCTCACCCCTTCAGCTGCTTGCTTTTTTTTCGTGGGGAGGGTGGCCACTCCGACCTGGATTTACCGTTCTTGGCCCCCGTGAGCCCCCCCGTGCGGGGGGCGGCTGTGATCGCTCTGGCGGTTGGAGGTCGGGGAGCGGCCCGGGCTCTGGCCATGTTCTCGGATGAGGATTTCTGGATCGCCCTGTGAAGAGGTGAGTGGAGTCTGCCCGCCCGCCAGGGCCCAGGAAAGGTTGAACTTGGGGGCACGGCCAGATGGACTCTCTTTGGCCAGAGCTGGCTTTGGGTCGGGGGAGGGGGTGGGTACCAGGCCTGGGGAGGGCTCCCTTGGCAGGCAGGGTCTGTCAAGGGAAGCCGAGCCCGGTAAGCCGGGACAGAGCTGAGGCCTGGTGTTGTGGGGTGTGCCTCTTTAAAGACGGGGGGCTCGGGGAGCCACGGGAGTTTGGGAACGTGTCCAGGGAGCCTGTCTGCCTGTTTATTTTTGTGTTGGGGGGAGTCCGGCTAAACTAGGACCCAGGCCTTGATGCCAGGAGCCAGTCCCGGGCTGCTGCCTCGCCTCCTCTCGGGGTTCCTTGTGGGTTTTGGGATGGAACAACTCGGAGTTGGGAGTGGGGGTGCCGCTGCCGGGTCAGGCTGACTTCCAGGGTGGACCCTAACGTTGCTCCTGCTTGCCCCGGTGCCCAACAGCAGTGTCTGGGAGGCTCAAGGAACCCTAACTCCTCAACAGGCCTCCCTTCTGTGGGTGAAGGGGAGGCTGTGTGGAAAGTGGCCAGTGTGATCCAGGGGCTGGTTGGGGCTGCTGCGGCCCCCGCTGTTCCACTTTAAATTACCCCTGCCCAGCAAAGTGACCCCAGCAAGGCCTAGTGCTGTCTTAGCCTGCTTCACCTCCCCTCCTCTTGGGATGGACATAATCTCCTGGGGATTATAGAGGAGGCCGTTGAGATTTGCTCCCTGCGAATGTGGGCTGCAAAAAAAAAAAAAAAAAGAAAGAAAAAGAAAAAGAAAAAAGAAAAAAAATGGCTTTTGTCTCCTGCTTTCTCTGGGGCCTGATGTGGAGAGCTGGCTGCCCAGGAGTCCCTTGGCCTGTGCTACAGGCCCCTCCCAGACCCCTTCAACCCTTTTCTAAGCAGGGACTGTTGACTAGGCCCCTAGGCCTCTCTCAGCCTTGCAGAGGTAGGGTGGCCTCTACCTCTTAGGAGGAGAAGCCAGCGGTTTCCAGCCCTGGCAGGAGGGGTTGGGGAGAAGGGGTGTGTGTATGCACACAGGAAAGGTGCAGCACGAGCCTCCTGCTTCTGGGCTCCGGGCTGAGATAGCCCCTCTCACACCTGTCATGCTGCCCAGCGGGGATTCGGCTGTGCATTTTGCTCCCTCCCTGCACCCTCTCCAACATACATGTGCTAGCTCTCTTTGAGTCTGGTCTTGGAAAGGCAGAAGTGGGGGGTTTTGCCCTTGGGAGGTGTGAGAGGTGGCACAGGGGTGGTAGAGATAGGTGAGCTGTCAGCCCTGTTCCCTGCTCCTAACCTTCCCTGGAGGATGCCTTCTGCTGTCTCCAGATAACTCCCATGGGTGAGGCTGCTCCCTGGGAAGCTGTGGCTGCCCCTGGACAGAGCCAGGGACATTCAGAGGGTCTGCAGCGCCAGTGTTGCTTCCTGGAGGGCTGACTCAAAATGGGGGTGGGGCGAGGTGTGGTTTGATCCTCAGACTGGGA